TGTTTAATTATATTTTAGATAAAAAAAAAAAATTGTTTTAAAAATATTTGTCATTATTTTTTTTGCTAGAGGTATTATTATCAGATTTTTTCACATACGAACCAAAATGGAATAAAGAATATATTTTTATTTTCAGTATCGATGTTAGATGTCTACAAAAATTATCGTTTTTACATTTTTTCCTTTTGTTTGCTTGAATCTTTTTTTATGGTACCTTTTTTAGGGTTAATATTAAGAACATCACAAAAAGTGAATTAGGCATGTATTCATTCTTTAAATAGTCAGTTGCAATCTTGAAATCGTTAAAAATTTCTTAGAAAAAAGAACTTTCTATTTTTCTGAAAAATTGCAAAATTTTCACAAGTAGTACCTCTCACTAGAGTGTCAAATTATTATCTCCGAAATTTTTTCGAGCTCATGAATATTTTAAAATTAATAATTTAATAATAAAATAATAATAATTAATTTAATTATTTTATTAATTTTATTAATAATAATGCGCCAAATCGACGTAGCTAGAACATTAAATGCAACGCAAAGTGTAATATCGCGATTGCACGCTACCGTGAAAGTGTTGATGTTGCTGAAAGGCAAACAGGGCGACATCGCATTCTACCCCTCAGCAAGATCATTTTTACAATTAAATGCTCGACGCCGACTGACTCTTACAGCACCAGAGCTAAGTTTAATTCTCCAGGAAACACATAATGTAACCGTTAGTCCTGACACAATTCGCAATAGATTAAGAGAGGTCAACTTAAGAAGCAGACGCCCCTGGAGAGCTCAACCCTTAACGAGAGGAAATCGAGAGGTACGATATTTGTGGGCTCAAGATCATGTTCAGTGGTCGAATGAACAATGGGCCAATGTTGCCAATGTTCTCTTCACGGATGAGTCACGCTTTGGAATTCATCTGGATTCGAGAAAGCTTAGGGTATGGAGAGAACCGGGAAATCTTATTCGGTTGGATCATGTTCAGGAAGTGCACCCTTATCAAGGTGGAACAGTTATGGTCTGGGGAGGAGTCCAGTTAGGCCGAAAAACCGATCTCGTTTTTTTTGAAAGGTTTCTAAGGAATCACATATAGTGATTTAATTCTTGAGCCTGTCGTGTTACCATATGCCAATGATTTTGGGAGAAACGTCATTATAAACGTCAAAAAATTACCAGTATAATTCGCTGTTTGGTGCCACAAGGAAAAAATTTTCACTAAAATTTATCCGTTGCCATGGTGGTTTGCCAAAAAACACGTTTTGATTGGTTAAACATTACAGGTGTGGAATTGTCAGATCAATTTTTTCTTCTCAAAATTTTATTGGGATTGCTAAACATTTTATCTAACAAAAAATTGTCAAAAATTAGTCCATTAGATCTCGAACAATGCCCTTAAAATCTAACAACATACACCACTTCATATTTGTTTATGCAAATACTATTTTGCACATTATTAATACTATTTTTATTTATTATAACCTCTTTTGATCGTTGTTAAGTTCAAAACCTTATCAATCTTTCGACGAAGTATCTGAATAAATAATATTGTTACATGTTTCATTTAATTTCTTTGGACTTGTTTTGTGCTCTTATTATCGTAAAAATGTAAACGTTTGGGTGATTTGCTCAAACAAATTCGTGAATTGCATTAATATATATGAGCCAGTTGGTTGCATATTTTGTCTATAAACGATATACAAACAATATTGAGTGAGTGTCAAAATGAAACTGCTGCGATGATGATTTACACTAATAATTTTATGTTATTTAGTTATCTTTTAGAGGGTATTTTATAAAATTAGTTTTTGCTTTTAAAAAAAATTGAATTCTGTATACATGACTAAAATAATTAAATAAAATACTGAATGTGGAGAGACTGAAGAGAGAAACTCGTATGGGATATGTGTATATATACAGGGTGATATGCAGGTTCTTACTTTCAAAATATGTGTATAATTCTTTTCTTTTAATATACAGTGTGGTTTAAACTTATTTTTACATTAAAGTACGGCTTATTCAAGGTATACTTTTTACTTAAGAGAATTTGAGATAAAATTTCTGTTGTAAAAATACAATAGTATTAAGAATTACATCAAGTAATTTTTGAAAAATCACCATTTTTAGACTAGAGTTTCTGCACACTACTTAGAACTCTATATAATAATTGCAATGTCATAAATTATTAGTACTATTTTATTAGAACTGGACGGTAGTACATTTTTCAAAACTAATTATACTAAAATAAACTTGAAATATACACTCAAAACTCAAAAAAAAATCAGTAGTGTTAGTTAATCTAGATTTTAATACAGGGTGTCCCAGAAATAAGTGCATGCATTTTAAGGGGTGGTAGATCGGACCAAAAGAAACATATTTTCTCTTTACAATTCAGTTCAAGAGGACCCAGTCTATAGGACAGTTTTCTCATTATAATTCGGTTTTAATATATTCTTTTGATAATAATAATGATATTTGATAATGAATTTATACCCTCCAATCCAACAATCATACTTCTTCAGCTAATGGTAAACTGCCGATGGACATATGCCATCCAGTTCAAGAGGACCCAGTCCAGGACAGTTTTCTCATTATATTTCTGTTTTAATATATTCTTTTGATGATAATCATGTTATTTGATAATGAATTTATACCGTCCAATCCAAGAATCATACTTCTTCAGCTAATGGTAAATTGCCGATGGACATATGCCATCCAGTTCAAGAGGACCCAGTCCAGGATAGTTTTCTCATTATAATTCGGTTTTAATATATTCTTTTGATAATAATAATGATATTTGATAATGAATTTATACCCCCCAATCCAAGAATCATACTTCTTCAGCTAATGGTAAATTGCCAATGGACATATGCCATCCAGTTCAAGAGGACCCAGTCCAGGACAGTTTTCTCATTATAATTCTGTTTTAATATATTCTTTTGATGATAATAATGTTATTTGATAATGAATTTATACCCTCCAATCCAAGAATCATACTTCTTCAGCTAATGGTAAACTGCCGATGGACATATGCCATCCAGTTCAAGAGGACCCAGTTCAGGACAGTTTTCTCATTCTAATTCGGTTTTAATATATTCTTTTGTTGATAATAATGTTATTTGATAATGAATTTATACCCTCCAATCCAAGAATCATACTTCTTCAGCTAATGGTAAACTGCCGATGGACATATGCCATCCAGTTCAAGAGGACCCAGTCCAGGACAGTTTTCTCATTATAATTCGGTTTTAATATATTCTTTTGATGATAATAATGTTATTTGATAATGAATTTATACCCTCCAATCCAAGAATCATACTTCTTCAGCTAATGGTAAACTGCCGATGGACATATGCCATCCAGTTCAAGAGGACCCAGTCCAGAATAGTTTTCTAATTATAATTCGGTTTTAATATATCCTTTTGATAATAATAATGATATTTGATAATGAATTTATACCCTCCAATCCAAGAATCATACTTCTTCAGCTAATGGTAAACTGCCGATGGATATATGCCATCCAGTTCAAGAGGACCCAGTCCAGGATAGTTTTCTCATTATAATTCGGTTTTAATATATTCTTTTGATGATAATAATGTTATTTGATAATGAATTTATACCCTCCAATCCAAGAATCATACTTCTTCAGCTAATGGTAAACTGCCGATGGATATATGCCATCCAGTTCAAGAGGACCCAGTCCAGGATAGTTTTCTCATTATAATTCGGTTTTAATATATTCTTTTGATGATAATAATGTTATTTGATAATGAATTTATACCCTCCAATCCAAGAATCATACTTCTTCAGCTAATGGTAAACGCCGATAGACATATGCCATCCAGTTCAAGAGGACCCAGTCCAGGACATTTTTATCGTTATAATTCGGTTTTAATATATTCTTTTGATGATAATCATGTTATTTGATAATGAATTTATACCCTCCAATCCAAGAATCATACTTCTTCAGCTAATGGTAAACGCCGATAGACATATGCCATCCAGTTCAAGAGGACCCAGTCCAGGATAGTTTTCTCATTATAATTCGGTTTTAATATATTATTTTGATAATAAGAATGATATTTGATAATAAATTTATACCCTCCAATCCAAGAATCATACTTCTTCAGCTAATGGTAAACTGCCGATGGACATATGCCATCCAGTTCAAGAGGACCCATTCCAGGACAGTTTTCTCATTATAATTCGGTTTTAATATATTCTTTTGTTAATAATAATGATATTTGATAATGAATTTATACCCTCCAATCCAAGAATCATACTTCTTCAGCTAATGGTAAACTGCCGATGGACATATGCCATCCAGTTCAAGAGGACCCAGTCCAGGACAGTTTTCTCATTATAATTCGGTCTTAATATATTCTTTTCATGATAATCATGTTATTTGATAATGAATTTATACCCTCCAATCCAAGAATCGTACTTCTTCAGCTAATGGTAAACTGCCGATGGACATATGCCATCCAGTTCAAGAGGACCCAGTCCAGGATAGTTTTCTCATTATAATTCGGTTTTAATATATTCTTTTGATAATAATAATGATATTTGATAATGAATTTATACCCTCCAATCCAAGAATCATACTTCTTCAGCTAATGGTAAACTGCCGATGGACATATGCCATCCAGTTCAAGAGGACCCAGTCCAGGACAGTTTTCTCATTATAATTCGGTTTTAATATATTCTTTTGATGATAATAATGTTATTTGATAATGAATTTATACCCTCCAATCCCAGAATCATACTTCTTCAGCTAATGCTAAACTGCCGATGGACATATGCCATCCAGTTCAAGAGGACCCAGTCCAGGATAGTTTTCTCATTATAATTCGGTTTTAATATATTCTTTTGATGATAATAATGTTATTTGATAATGAATTTATACCCTCCAATCCCAGAATCATACTTCTTCAGCTAATGGTAAACTGCCGATCGACATATGCCATCCAGTTCAAGAGGACCTAGTCCAGGATAGTTTTCTCATTATAATTTGGTTTTAATATATTCTTTTGATAATAATAATGATATTTGATAATGAATTTATACCGTCCAATCCAAGAATCATACTTCTTCAGCTAATGGTAAACTGCCGATGGACATATGCCATCCAGTTCAAGAGGACCCAGTCCAGGACAGTTTTCTCATTATAATTCGGTTTTAATATATTCTTTTGATGATAATAATGTTATTTGATAATGAATTTATACCCTCCAATCCAAGAATCATACTTCTTCAGCTAATGGTAAACTGCCGATGGACACATGCCATCCAGTTCAAGAGGACCCAGTCCAGGATAGTTTTCTCATTATAATTCGGTTTTAATATATTCTTTTGATGATAATCATGTTATTTGATAATGAATTTATACCCTCCAATCCAAGAATCATAGTTCTTCAGCTAATGGTAAACTGCCGATGGACATATGCCATCCAGTTCAAGAGGACCCAGTCCAGGATAGTTTTCTCATTATAATTCGGTTTTAATATATTCTTTTGATGATAATAATGTTATTTGATAATGAATTTATACCCTCCAATCCAAGAATCATACTTCTTCAGCTAATGGTAAACTGCCGATGGACATATGCCATCCAGTTCAAGAGGACCCAGTCCAGGACAGTTTTCTCATTATAACTCGGTTTTAATATATTCTTTTGATGATAATAATGTTATTTGATAATGAATTTATACTGATCTGTTTTAATGTAGGTAATGTTAAGTACGTTGACTATTTAGATATCTAATAGAGAGCACTAGTTCTGCACTGTTGAAAAGCTGCTATAATTGTTCATTATTTAGTTACCTTATTTCAGTTTACTAAACTGTAAAAAAGGTATTTAAATATAGTAGACGTTGTACTGTATTTAATGGTAATCTAATATTAAAGGTAATGGTAATGGTAATCTAATATAAAAAGGAATCTCTAATTAAAGAAGTATTTTTTTTAAATAGTACTGAAGCTGTGGTTGGTTACTTGTGAAACATCGTTGAAATATTAGTATTTTAATAAAACACGCTTTTAGATGTATCAAAAATTTTTTTTAATAGGAGAAAAATCAATAGCACTGATTTCTGGGACACCCTGTATAAGTATATTTTTAAAATTATTACTTTTTGACATTTTTTTTTCTTTTTTCAGGTATTATTAACAATGGAACAAGACATAGAAAACTTCACATACGAGTATATTGATCAAATGGCTCCAAAAGTTTCGTGGCACCACACATCATTTTACATACGCATACTATGGATCATAGCATCACTTTCAGCGCTTTCAATGGACATCTCCCTAATAGTAGTCATCAAAAAATTCAAAATCCTTGAAAAATCTCGTTCCTACAAGTACCTGCTTGCTTTTGCCATATCCCATTTGTGCTACATGCTCTTGTCGGAAATTTTAGGCATGTTTTTCGAAGCTATTTCCCATGGCCTGTCACAAACAGGCCGTTGCCTTGTTACAAACATCGACTGCTGTTGTATAGAGATGGGGTTGTTTGTTCTAACCTTCATGGCTATCGACTGGTACGTTTTTCATTACTACAGATTGTTCTATGACAATCATTTGAAGGTCTTTAATCACGGTGTTTTGATATCCTTTTTGATCCTTTTTTTCAAAAGCTTTGTAGTTTTTATAGCTTGTTTCGTCAACGATCATATTTTGGGAATGTTCGATAACTTTATTTTTCTGGACTTTTTCGATTTAGCTTCATTTTTTCTGTGTTTTATTATTCTAGCATTGTTATTTATTGCTTGGAAACGCAAAACGCCCTGTAACACATCTAAAAAGTACGAATATTCCTTAATTGTTCCTTGTATATATTTCTTGATGTCTTTACCACTGAATATATTTTATCTGGTTAGAATTTTTGAGCGGCTTGAGTATTATAGTGTTGTTCACGAAGTTATTTTGGACTGTTTAATTACTGTGTCATATTTGGGAGTGATTGTAATAGTGTTTTTGTTAGGAAAATACGACAAACACTTCAAGATGGCTTACATGAAGTGCTGTAAGAGAAGATATGAAAATGGGAATTTCCAGGACGCAGTTTCTGAAGATGGCAGTGAAGAAGACACTGTGACTTATGATGGACAAGTTGTCAGAATCTAGTTTAATTTGTAATTAGTTTGTATATTCAATAAAATATTACATTATAATATCGTACTGATGATATCGTTCACAGACCGCTTCCCGAGAATATATCACTGTATTCATTCATACGGTCGAGAATACTTACAAATGTTAATTTTAAGAACATCACCTAAAGTGAATTAGAGAATTGAGAGAAGGAGAATTAAAATGAATTTATATTCATATATTATATCACGAGACCTATAAATTGAATCGATTAAACTATTCAAATATATTTTGTGCGTGATTTTGCTTGAAAAATAGTTGAATGGGGGCGCTCCACAGTGCGGCGGATGGTTATTCTAGCGGGACAAAATCTCAAGAGCAATGTTTGGGATTTAAAATCTAAGAACGTAGCAAATGGTCTAATATACAGGGTTGTTCACCCCATACGACACGGAAAGTATTAGCTAAACGATGAGATTTTTACAAATTGTAAGTTTTGGGTGTTCGATGAAGGACTCCATTAGAGGTACAATTTAAAAATAATTTTACAAAGATACAGAGTGTCCTTAAATAAGTAAAAATATCAAGTTGTATTTTTTAAATGAAACACCCCTGTATATTATTTCATTTTTAGTTTCTACGATTGATTAAAGCTGGTAAATTTGATTAGTTTATTATACTTTCAAACCTTACCGGTTTGAAATATTTACTGCAATTTTTGTGAAATTGCAAAAATTTTAAAGCTTCACATTTCTCAAGGGTATCAATGTTTTTAATACTAAATATTTAATGAAGTTTATTTATTGATCAGTTATTGTGTTGCAATAATAAAATAATACTACCTTGTACAGAGTGTCTAAAAATTTATTATTTTAAATAATTATTAGCTTCAAACGGCACAACTTTTTTAATTTAAATGTGGAATGCCCCTGTATATTTTAGGAGAAATCAGATGCACAATTAAATTGTCTATCAAATTGTATTATATCATTATTTACCTATCCCTTTCAAGTTTTCGTAGAAAATGCATTTTCTTATAATTTAGACCTCATTTATCAATATATCTATGGAATATTGACATTTTAGATTGTTTTTAAAGCAACAAATGTACAAATGTATAGATTAGTAATATTATCGTTTTTAGCAAAACGATAATATTACTAGCCCATTTGTATGCAAAAAGAAAAACTATTTAAATCTTTATAAAAGAGTATACCATTAATTAAATATAACACCAATATTTCCGCCCATATACTAATTAATTACATACTTAATTGTGTTCGTTAATAAATTATTATAAATAAAATGTGGATTTTTGAGTCAGAAATCAATATAATAATAAGTTATCAAATTAAAGTCTTTTGTTGTTATAAATAAGCATTTATTAAAAATGAAATATCATTTTTAAGGTGTTACTTTTTATCACACTGTCTAATGCCCATACAAAATTCAGTTTTTTAGTATTTGGAGCAATTATTATTAATCAACGCAAACAGTCAGTTAATGTAGTTTGAATACCGGAATCATATTAATTGGTCCCCTTTAACAAATATTTAAACAGTTTTTTTATTTTTTAATAAAATAAACAAATTATATCGACAATATTAGTATCTGTACTCTTTAAAAATTTGGTACATCTTTAAAAATAATCTAAAATGTCAATAGTCCATGGGTATTTTGATAAATAAGTTCTAAATTACAAGAAAATGCATTTTCTACGGAATCTTAAAGAGATAGGTAAAAAATGGTATAATATAATCTGATAGACAATTAAATTGTGCATCTGATTCTCGTAAAATATACAGGGTGTTCCATTTAAATTAAACAAGTTATTGCCGTTTGAAACTAATAATTATTTAAAATAAATTTTTAGACACTCTGTATAAGGTAGTATTATTTTTATTATTGCAACACAATAACTGATCAGTAAATAAACTTCAGTAAATATTTAGTATTAAAAAACTTTGATACCCTTGGAGAAATGAAGCCTTAAAATTTTTACTGCAATTTCACAAAATTGAAAATATTTCAAAACGGCAAGCGTTTACATAATAAACTTTAATCAAATTTACCTTTTTATTTTAATCGTCGAAACTAAAAATGTAATAATATACAGGGTGTTCCATTTAAAAAAATACAACTTTGATATTTTTTATTTATTTGGGACACTCTGTATCTTGTAAAATTATTTTTAAATTGTAGCTCTAATAGTCCTTCAACGAACCCCAAACTTAAAATTTGTAAAAATCTCATCGTTTAGCTACAATACTCCGTATCGTATGTGGTGAACAACCCTGTATAAACAAAATTTATTCGAAAAATTAGATTAGCTGATTGGTCCATTTCACGATGAGGGAAATAATCACTCTTAAAATAGCCAGTTATATCTTGAATTCATATAGAAATCTCTTCAGAACAAGAAATTCCAGTTTTTTCTAAATTGTAAAATTTTCAGAACAATTTTTCCTTATATATATAATTTTATTGAGATTGGTAATTTTTTTATTTAACAAAAATTAGTCCATTAGATCTCTTACAATATAAGAGCATACTACACCACTTTATATTTGTTTATGCAAATACTATTTGGCACATTATTAATACTATTTTTATTTACTATAACCTTTTTGATCATTCTGTTCAAAACAATTACTGCAGAAATGTAAAAGTTTGAGTATTTGCCTACATAAATTCGTGAACTGCATTAATAGATAAATAAGCCAGTTGATTGCGTGTTTTCTCCATAAACGGAACAGCATCAAGTGAGTGTCACTAGTAAAATGCAACTATTTTGTGGAAAAAAATTATGAAGTTTAACCATAATACAATGCGAGAAAACCGCAAGTTCAAATTGATTTAAGTATATCCAGAGAGCTTTTGTGTTTTTTAGGATTATCAAGTGACTTACAAGAAGGTAATATTATGATTTACACCCCTAGAGTTATGAAATCACAGTTATATTTTAGTGATGTTCTATCAAATTAGTATTTGTTCTTAAAAAAATTCTACAGACAAGAATTACTAAATAAAATTTTGTATAGGCTGAAGATAAATACACGTATAGGATCTATGTACAGGGTGGATCGAAATTCGAGGCTTTTAAATGGAAACATCCTTTTCTATAGGAGATAGACGAAAACTAATATCGGTGTCTGAGCTCAATTTTCATCATCAAAACATGATGGTGAAAAACCGCACATCAATATCTGTTACCGTTTCGAGGTTGCGGGGTGTTTTTCAAAATGTGCATTTTTAACAAATCGCTGTAACTTTTTGCTGCGGAAAATTTTTTGTATTTCTATGAAAACATTTCCAAAGCACCTGTTTACGTATAATTTTTTTAAAATTAATAATTTAAGAGTTATCAACAGAAAAATTGATTTTTTATTTGGGACACCCTCTATATTTTTAATTAACATAAAAGAATTTAAAATTACCTTTCCAAAAATATAGCACACTTGATATTTTGTTATAATCCCCTTCGAAATACAGAATTTTTAAAAGTTCGCCACTTTTAACTATAGTAGGCTTTGGACCCCTTATTGATGATATGCCCTTAATGGAACTCGAAAACATATTTTTCCAGCAAGACGACGCACCGTCTCTGAACCCTGAAGTTGTCAGCAAATTTTTGCAGCCAATTTCAAGAATAATTGAATAGCTAACCAAGATCCCAGCCGTTGGCCGTCGAGGCCGCCTGACTTAGTGCCCATGGATCTAATCATATGGATATATTTGCGGAAGAATAAAGGTATCTTTCACCGCCACTGAGTTAACGAATTCCGCAAGAAATGTTCAAAAACTGCCCCGTCTGTCCATAACAGAAGACGGTCGATATGTCGAACACCTGTAGCAAAATCTCATGTCGTGGTTTGCTATTTATTTTTATTGTTATTAGATATAGTTTAAATGTGTTGATGTTGGTTAAATATATTTTAAATTGTTATAAAATTCTGTATCTCTCATTTCAAATATTATTTTCGTTTTCATTGATGCTCACAGCTAGAATTTTTTTGCATTAGAGCCGGTGCCGTTCAAAGCCTACATATTTAAAGCGGGCGAATTTTTATATACTCTATATCTCGAAGAGGAATCGAGCAAAATATCATGTGTTATATTTTTGGAAAGGTAATTTTAAATTATTTTCAATAAATTAAAATATACAGGTGTCCCATATAAAAATCAAATTTTCTGGTGATAATTTTTAAATTATTAATTTTAAAAAAATTATACTTAAACCATTAAATTCTATGTAAAACGGTGCTTTGAAAATGTTTTCATAAAAATACAAAATTTTCCATAGCAAAAAAGTTACAGAGATTTGTTAAAAATGCACATTTTTCAAAAACACCCCGTAACTCCGAAACGGTAACAGATATTGATGTGCGGTTTTCACCATCATGTTTTTGATGAAAATTGAGCTCCAGACACGAAATCTAATATCGATTTCGTCTATCTCCTATAGAAAAGGGTGTTTCCATTTAAAAGCGTCGAATTTGATCCACCCTGTACAGTATGTCCCCGGACTGTCTTTACAAAGAAAAAACTTTTTTATTATTGACATTTTGAGAAAAATTTTTGCTTGTTTTAAACTGGTTAATTTAGAAAAAATGCTACTATATATTTTCTATTTCTTTAGTTTTCTCTAAAACGGCATGGAAATTTCAGAAAGTATCTACAGGGTGATATACATACGTTTTTATTTTCAAAATATGTGTATAATTATTTTCTTTAATATACAGTGTGATTAAAACTTATTTTCACACTAAAATACGACTTATTTAAGGAATGAGTGTATACTTACTTTGGATAGATTTTATGTTATAACCTGATATTTAGCAGAAAAAAAATCAGTAAAATGTTAGTTAATATAGATTTTTATATAGGTATATTTTTGAAATTATTGCCTTTTTATTACAATCTTTTTTCTTTTCAGATATTATTAATACAATGGACCAAGACATGGAAAACTTTACATTCAACCCAATGTATATTGATCAAGTTGGTCCACTTTACCACACATCATTCTTCATACATTTACTATGGATTATAGTATCACTTGCAGCTCTTTCAATGGACATCTACCTAATAGTAGTAATCAAAAAATTCAAAACCCTTGAAAGCTCTCGTTCCTACAAGTACTTTCTTGCTTTTGCCATATCCCATCTGTGCTACATGCTCTTGTCGCAAATTTTAAGCATGTTTTTCGAGGTTATTTCTCATGGCCTCTCCCAAACTCGTTCTCTGCTTGTCACAATCATCGACTGTTTTTGCCTAGAGATGGGTTTGTACGTCCTAACCTTCATGGCTATCGACTGGTATTTTTTTCATTACTACAGACTGTTCTATGACAAACATTTGAAGGTTTTTAATCACGGCGTCTTGGTATCCTTTTTGATACTTTTTTTTAAAAGCTTTGTAGTTTTGTTATCATGTTTCGTAAACGATCACATTTTGGGACAGGCGGATAATTTTATTTTTCTGGACTTTTTCGATTTAGCTTCATTTTTTCTGTGTTTCATTACTCTAACGTTGTTGTTCATTACTTGGAAACGTAAAACGCCCAATAGTACATCTAAAAAATACGAGTATTCCTTGATTGTTCCTTGGGTATATTTCTTGATGTCATTACCGCTGAATATATTTTATGTAGTGAATGTTTTTCAGCGTCCTGAATACTATAGTGTTAATCATGAGGTTCTTCTGGACTGTTTAGCTATTGTGTCATATTTGGGAGTGATTGTAGTGGTGCTTTTGTTAGGTAAATACGACAAGCACTTCAAGATGGCGGACTTGGAGTGCTGTAAGGGAAAATATAAAAATGAGAATTTCCAGGATGCAGTTTCTGATGTTGGTAGTGAAGATACCACTGTGACTTTTGATGGACAAGTTGTCAATCTCTAGTTTTTTTTGTCATTAGTTTTGTATATTCAATAAAATGTTACATTATACAATATGTCTAACATTGATCTCATTTATGCATACGCTAAAAAATATATTTTTGTAAGTTTATTTTTTTAAGCTAGCTACTGTAATTTTGGAGTTACGATTTTTTAAAATTTTTAACCCCCTCCCATACCCCCTTACCAACCCCCCACCCCCACCAAAAACTAATGGCCAGATTCTCGGGTGCCAAACTATTTTTGTGCCAAATTTGGTTAAAATCGGTTTAGCGGTTTTTGAGTTATCGTGTTACAGACGGACAGACAGACGGACAGACAGACGGACAGACTGACGGACAGACAGACGGACAGACAGACGGACAGACAGACGGACAGACAGACAGACAGACAGACAGACAGACAGACGGACGGACGGACGGACAGACAGACAGACAGACGACAGACGGACAGACGAGACGGACAGACGGACTTGGACAGACAGACGGACAGACAGACGGACAGACAGACGGACAGACAGACGGACAGACAGACGGACAGACAGACAGACGGACAGACAGACGGACAGACAGACGGACAGACAGACAGACGGACAGACAGACGGACAGACAGACGGACAGACAGACGGACAGACAGACGGACAGACAGACAGACGGACAGACAGACGGACAGACAGACGGACAGACAGACGGACAGACAGACGGACAGACAGACGGACAGACAGACGGACAGACAGACGGACAGACAGACGGACAGACAGACGGACAGACAGACGGACAGACATACGGACAGACAGACGGACAGACAGACGGACAGACAGACGGACAGACAGACGGACAGACAGACAGACGGACAGACAGACGGACAGACAGACGGACAGACGGACAGACGGACAGACGGACAGACGGACAGACGGACAGACGGACAGACGGACAGACGGACAGACGGACAGACGGACAGACGGACAGACAGACGGACAGACAGACAGACAGACAAACAGACGGACAGACAAACAGACGGACAGACAAACAGACGGACAGACGGACACCATGAAAATATTTTGTATTTAGGTTATTTATGACACAAATAACTCATTTTGAGTGAAATTAGAAAAACTTTTTGTTTTGCCGATCGTAAGAGCCTACCATACCTGTCGATATGCTAATAAATTTTTGTTCCTTTTTTAATTCTTCACATAATTTCGGAGTATTGGATTATTATTTGTTAAATAAAAAAAAATAGTTAGAAATTATATTAGATACACACCAGTAAAATGTATTTTGCAAGGAATACAAATGGATTATTACAGGCAGACGAGTATTTTAACAATAAACAATTAAAATAGCAAGCTGATTAGTCATTAAAAGAAATGAAAAATACTAATTAAGAATTACGTATGTGTACAGGTTGTCTTTACTTTCACTTAATAAAAAGTCTCTACCTTCATTTAGTGCTTACTTGCTAATTATATCCTGAGACAGTGTTGTCAGAATTGAAGGATTTCCCTCAATATGAAGGATTTTACAGTCAAGTGCTGTCGAGTATACTACGCTGCATTTTTGATGTGTGCTATTTTTTAAGTAGCAGTGGTAATTTTTGGACACATTGGTGTCCAAAAATTACGAGAAATAAGTTTTTAAAAATTTTTTTTTGGTGATTTTTCACAAGATCTGGATTTTTTTGTGAAGTTGAAGGAATATAAAGGTTTTTTAACCTAACCTAACCAGCAGTACTCTAACAACATGCTTGCATTACACACACATGACTTCAGGGAAGTGAAATCACATGATTCCGTCTTGATAGAACTGGATAATTTTTCCCCTTACATATAATCTATCATCTACAATTTTCTAAAATACTATCTGATAGTAACATACACAACCAAACTTATACGGACTCATTCTTTATTTCTGATAGTGCATCTCCCCATACCAGCAGAGTGACTAGAGAACGTCTTGAAACGGAAGATGTCATAGTTTTGGACTGGCCTGCCTATTTACTAGATCTAAACCTTATCGAACACTTGTGGGACTAGCTCAAAAGAAGAGTTAGAGCTCGTCAAAACAATCCAGGAAATCTCGCACAGCTTATTGATGCAGCATTAGCAGAATGGGAAAACATACCCGAAGACAACGTGGATAATTTAAGCTAAATAAAAACACTAAATCACCACAATACACCAAAACACTTTTACTTTTACACTGGACGCGCGTTTCGCTAACCATGTTAGCATCATCAGCAGATGATTATCAACTCAACTCAGTTTATAATCATCTGCTGATGATGCTAACATGGTTAGCGAAACGCGCGTCCAGTGTAAAAGTAAAAGTGTTTTGGTGTATTGTGGTGATTTAGTGTTTTTATTTTGCTGTGTAACACCAAAGGTTCCAACCCTCAACTGTAATAGTGGATAATTTAACAAGAAGCATGCCAGCGCGGATAGATGTTTGCATAAGGGCTAAAGGCACAAATTAACTACAACAGATGCGAAAGAACACCGAATTACGCGTTCAGGTTTCTGTGACCTTCAGAAAGAGTTCATAGACAATCCGCATCAATGTATAGTTTGGGTTATTATTTTTTTGGGTGAAAATAATCTGCACCAATATGTTATCGAGGCATACAAAAAGGTCCACAGACTTCGAGACATACGAAAAATCAGGTCCATTTAGCGTGTGTCGCAATTTTCACACCTTAAAAAATTAGTTTTTATAGCTATAGCAACTGCAGCGACTATGAAAAAAGCTGTGTGATTTTCACAGAAAATAAGGGCACCTGTAATTCATTTGAGAATGTTATAAATCGCTAAAAGAGGTTTCAAATCTCTTGGATTTCTATTAATATTAAATAAATTTTATTAAAAATTGAACTAAAATTGTTAGTATTATTAAAAACAATTCAAATTCAAAAATTGTATCAGTTAAATTTCCTCATTTAAGGTGAATATTAAAGTAAATATAAATACAGCTCATTCTAAGCTCTACTTATCTTTAAGAAGAATTTAAATCATTGTTGCAATTGGGCCTTAATGCCATTTCGAATGAACAATAGTATTAATAATGTACATTATAATAATAATAAATTTTATATCATAGTGTGTATTAAAACTACTAAAACACTTTTAAATTGGTATTATATTAACAACTTTTGTTTTTTAATCCAAAAAAAAGTTACCAATTTTCTCAATCAAAATATTTGTGGTCCTGAAAAGGACCTTCGTTTTCCCATGTTCGTCAAGGTAGGTAATGGGTAAACGGTAAAAAAACAGGATAATGAAATTTAAAAAATTACAAAAATTGTTCAAAAGTGCCTCCCTCTTGCATTAAACAATAACCCAAACGATCATAAAATCCCCTCCTCACATTGGATAACATATCAGGGGTGACAGTGTCAAAGGCATTAAATATTTTCTGCCTTAACTGCTCCAAGTTTTGAATTTCTTCATGGCCGTAAATTTTAGATTTTATGTACCCCCATAAAAAGAATCATTCACCGAGAAGTCAGGTGAAATTAAACGTCAGTCTAAACAAAACTGTCATTTTTGAAAACTTGTCAAAATTTGGACACACGCTAAATGGACTTGATTTTCCTATGTCTCGAAGTCTGTGGACTTTTCTGTATAATCTCACAGTAATTTAATAGATTGCTCGTCATATTATATCAGTTCGTAGGAGATTAGGAAAAAAAAAAGATATTTATAGTATAAAAAATTAATTTATTTAACAAAATTTAATTAAAGATGTGACAAAATATTTACATTTCTATTGGTTCTATCGAACTTTTTTCGACTATATAAATCTTTATTTTTTGTAAACTTTAATGCATAAAATATTTTCAATTACATCATTAATTGCATTATTTACATCATTAAATGATTTATTAGATTGAAAATATTTGATGTATTAAAGTTTACAAATAAAGATTTATATAGTCGAAAAAAGTCCGATAGAACCTGTCTATTGGTAACTATTTTGTCACATTTTTAATTAAATTTTGTTATATAAATTAATTTTTTATACTATAAATATCTTTTTTTTCCTTATAAATAAACACATTTGCATCCCATTTTAAATAAGATATACAAATTACCAAAACTTAGAAATAACAGTTCAAAAGTTCAACAAAAACCCTACACGCATTTTTAAAATAAAACATATAACCACGCACTATGTCATTCCAGCAAGCGAATACGACACAGCATAGCTTTCCGGACTAAACGACTGGTGTATTTACACCACTCAATAGGCGTGTCGGGTTTGCCGAGCGGTTTCCGATGCAGTCGCTTTCTTTCGCATCTGTTATAGGTAATTTGTGCTAGAGGTGGCAACAAGGAATATTAAAATTATCAATTTTCTTTTTGTTTATGCTTTTTGGCCATTGAAAATTTAAATCTTAAGTTCGTTTCAGAAACCATTTTCTTTATTTTGGGAACTGATTAATTTTTTTTATTGCTATATGAATTATTTTTCATTAAAAATTATTGGTAAGGACTGAGTTTTATTCATAAACACAACATTTTCATACATCTCAAAAATTATGAAAAATACTAGATGATTCCATATAAGTTTGTATATATTTTGTGTCTATATTGAGACAGCCTGTGTATGATCTAAACAAAGGATTATTTCATACATTACACACCACCTGTCTGTTTAAAATTACAAACAAATGCAAAATTATGCACATAAACAATTCGAGCGCTTCTCAGATACTACGCATGTTTCAAATCGGCGGTAAACAGCATCCATGCCATCCTAATAAAACAAATCTATAAACATCATCTCTCTTATTGTTGATATATAGTTTATTTCTCTTTAATTTTTAGTATATGTCAGTATTAAAATTCGATTTTTGACGATTTTTAAACGATATAATTGAGGAAATTGTTCTAAAATTGTGGAGCAATGTAGGTGTAAGATTTTTTATGATGTTCTGTGTAACCTTTTAGAAATTATTGGAGTAAATGGTAGCAATTACAGAGAGCTTGTAATGAGGCGGATAAAAATAATTGTTGGTTAGTGGTTTAGACATCATCAGGCTAGGATAGATTTAGAAAAGTAAAACTGTAAGTAAAATTAATTTTTGTACTTAGATATCTCTTAAAATACTATAGTAAAATGCACAAAATACTCAAAATACAATAATTGAACTTTTAGTTTATTGGATTTAATAATAAATATGTTTATACAGGGTTTTTAAAAGTATTTTTTTGAATCTAATTTAGTAGTAAACTATTATCACAAAAAAAAAAACATGATTGCTGTTTTTAGTTGCATATTTTTTCCAACAAAAGTCTTTTATACCGGGTGTATCAGGTAGAAACGACCAATGCTAGTTTACTTATTTAAATTCTAGTTATATTTGATGTATAGGATTTTCTGATATACTTATTTAGTGCCATACTTGCAGGCTTACCTATTGGAGGAGATAAAAAACTTTAAATATAAGAATTAAATGGAACACACTGTAGTTTTTTATTTTTCCTCGTTACAAGCATTCTAAAAATATAATACCGGATGTTTCTCAAAAGTGGCTCACCTCTATAACTTTTTTATTTTTTCAAATAAAAAAACGAGATTTGGTATGTAAGTATATGACATAAATTAGGATTGATTGACGTATTCAATTGTTTTCGGTCATTTCCTGTTTCACCGGAAATGACTACAACTTGTGATTTTAAACTGTGAATAGAATAAAAACGTATGTCAACTTTTGACATTTTCGCTTATAAAAAAATCGTATTGTAAATTTCAATCTAGAGTGCCGTGGTTAAAAACACTAATTTTTAATCAAGGAGCCTTGGAAAAATAGATTTGCTCGTCTAATGTTTTTCGTGTCTTTTCCTGGCCGGTTAAAAGATGCCCAAATCGTATTTTTAATCATATCTCAATTTTTTATTGAGCTCATTAGCATATTTGGAAAAAGCATTTTTTTACGAATAATTTGGTACCACACACTCGGTATTTCGAGTCAAATTGTTGTTACGAACCGCACGTTACAATTATTTCAAATAAACCATATACGAAAATATCAAAAGTTGACATATGATATGTCATATTCTTTCAGGGTGTCATTTTCTATCGAATAAAGTAAAAAAATACCAAGGTTGTCATATATGAAAATACCAAATCTGGTTTTTATCTGAAAAAAATAAAAAAGTTATAGGGATGAGTCAATTTTTAGAAACATCTGGTATTATATTTTTAGAATGCCGAAATATTATACAGGATGTTCCATTTAAAAAAAATACATTTTTTTTCTCTTGTAATACGTCCTAGTACAGAGTTTAGATCCATAAGTTCTTTCTTACAGAATCAACAGACGTCTCACACACTTTTGCAGTACCCTGTATAGAAATAAATATGTTTGGTAAAGCGATTGCTTGAATTACAGACGTATTTTTCGCCTTATATGCAACCGTATTAAAAAATAACTGGCACAGTAGATCATCGTTTATTTTCAACACCCACTAGATGACCTCAACTATCAATTACACTGTTGTATTTCAGTCTAAATTTCTTATTAAGTAATTTACAAGCAATTTTTTCCAAGTTTAAGCAGCCCAAAAGACCACATAGTTATTTTAAAATGTTTTTAATCATATTTTCATTTCAAATAATTTATTATTTTTTACTAGAATTTGCATATTTATATTTTAGCAAAATTTTTACAAAGATGCCTTTGGTTTTTAAAAACAAGGCTCGGAGTTAACTACAGTTTACTTTACTATAAATATCGTAATCCTAAATTATACAGGGTGGTCAAAATTTGATGTGAAAATTGTTAAAATACGTAGAAGTATTTTTTCTATTTTTTTTAATGGAGCTCTGTATATTATTTTTCTTTTGTATGTTTTTGTGTATTTAAAAATAAAAAGAAGCAAAACAACATCATTATATGGCTTTCGTAACAATTTACTGTTGAAAGAACCATATACGGTATGTCCCCGGATTATCTTTACAAATGCATTCTTCACATAAATTTTTGCTTGTTTTAAAACGGTTATCCCTGTTTTTACTATTGCAAATTTCCATACCGTTTTAGAGAAAATTAAAATATAATTGGTTTTTTGGAAAATGTGATACTTTAGCAAAAATATGACGTTAATCAAAATTAAAAAATCGGCAACATCGGACCTCCAGAACAAAATATATTGAACAACTCGATGGAAATTTTTAATTTTGACTTATTTTTTTTCAGAAGAAAACAAAATGTACGTAAACAAATCACCGACATCTTTAGACGAAGAATACATCACCCACGACCAACACGGTACATACCACAATGGTACCCACCAAACTCTTCGTACCACCACCATATCCATAGGAATTATAATCAGTTTGATAGCAATAATCTTAGATACCATCCTCATTTTCGTTATAAGAAGATATAAAGCTTTGAAAACCCGCAACAACGTATACCTACTTCATTACGCCATATGCAACATCATATATTTGTCCTCAAACACCATACTTCATATTGTAATGGACATATTTTTCGAGGGGTACTTGGAAGTGAACTGGTACTGCACATTGGTACAAATAGAGAACTACTTTTTGAACCTCTGCATAATGTTCATAGCTATGTACGCTCTGGATGAGTATATCAGGATTTCTTGCAAAAATAACTTGCTAACTGCATATTTTAATGGTTACAAGTACTTTATAGGAAGTCTCTATATTATACACGTACTATTTTTGTTTATTGTAACGGGTGTATGTTTTGGTAGCACCAAAAAAGTCAAATTTGATGTCAGTTTTATTATAGTTACCGTAACATATGCCCTTTTGCTTTTGGCCTTAATCAGAATAGCAATGAGTTTGAAAAAGAGTTGCAAAATATTCAAACACAACTCCTAAGAATAGTTTTGGAAGTTTCAAGCTTTGTATTCTTGTTCTACCTTCCAATAATTGTTTATTATAACTTATTAAACATTTTAGATGCAAATCATATCGACGATTTGGATATTTGTGAGTATATTCGTTTATTTTTGAATATATGGCTTACAGCGCTACTTTTGTCTTGATTTGATTGTTTAAATTAAACAAGTTCTTTAAGTTGGCTTTTTGCAAGGTTATGTGTAAATCTAGGAAAGATTTGGATTATAGTAGGCTGGATACCGTTCCAGAAGAGTTATCTAGCTAAGAAGATATAGCTATCTGTTTATTTTATTTATTAAAATTGTTTATAACGTTTTAATCGTTTTTTTTTAAATATATTTGTTGTATATATTGTCACTTAATCATAATATATTGCCTTTTGATATTTGCATCATATTATAAATAAATATTTTTGAAACATTTATTAATAAAACATAGTTAAATATACATTCTTTAAATGAAGTTATTTATTTATAAAAATAAATCTTACTAAATTATACTGCCTATTGATAGTACATACGCTTTGAAAACCCGCAACAACGTATACCCCTACTTCGTAACTTTAGTTGACATCATATATTTGTCCTCAACATACTTCATATTGTAATGGACGCATATTTTCGAGAGGTACTTGGAAGTGAACTGGTACTGCACATTGGTACAAATGAGAACTTTACTTTTTGAACCTCTGCATAATGTTCATAGCTATGTACGCTCTGGATGAGTATATCAGGATTTCTTGCAAAAATAACTTGCTAACTGCATATTTTAATGGGTACAAGTACTTTATAGGAAGTCTCTATATTATACACGTACTATTTTTGTTTGTGTAACGGGTGTATGTTTGGTAGCACAAAAAGTCAAATTTGATGTCAGTTTTATTATAGTCACCATGGCATATGCCCTTTTGCTTTTGGCTTTTAATCAGAATAGCAATAGGTTTGAAAAAGAGTTGCAAAATATTCAAACACAACTCTAAGAATAGTTTTGGAAGTTTCAAGCTTTGTATTCTTGTTCTATCTTCCAACATTGTTATTATAACAGTAAACATTTTAGATGCAAATCCTTATCGAGATTTGGATATTTGCAGGTATATTCGTTTATTTACGAATATATGGCTTACAGCGCTACTTTTGTCTTGATTTATAAGTTGTTTAAGTTAAACAAGTTCTTTAAGTTGGCTTTTGTAAGGTTATGTAAATCAGAAAGAGTTTGGATTATAGTAGATACCGTTCAGAAGAGTTATCTAACTAGAAGATATAGCTATCTGTTTATTTTATTTATTAAAATTGTTTATAATGTTTAATCCCTTTTTTTAAATATATTTGTTGTATATATTGTCACTTAATCATAATATATTGCCTTTTGATATTTGCATCATATTATAAATAAATATTTTTGAAACATTTATTAATAAAAACATAGTTAAATATACATTCTTTAAATGAAGTTATTTATTTATAAAAATAAATCTTACTAAATTATACTGCCTATTGATAGTACATACGCTTTGAAAACCCGCAACAACGTATACCTACTTCATTACGCCATATGCAACATCATATATTTGTCCTCAAACACCATACTTCATGTTGTAATGGACATATTTTTCGAGGGGTACTTGGAAGTGAACTGGTACTGCACATTGGTACAAATAGAAAACTACTTTTTGAACCTCTGCATAATGTTCATAGCTATGTACGCTCTGGACGAATATATCAGGATTTCTTGCAAAAATAACTTGCTAACTGCATATTTTAATGGGTACAAGTACTTTATAGGAAGTCTCTATATTATACACGTACTATTTTTGTTTATTGTAACGGGTGTATGTTTTGGTAGCACCAAAAAAGTCAAATTTGATGTCAGTTTTATTATAGTCACCGTAACATATGCCCTTTTGCTTTTGGCTTTAATCAGAATAGCAATGAGTTTGAAAAAAGAGTTGCAAAATATTCAAACACAACTCCTAAGAATAGTTTTGGAAGTTTCAAGCTTTGTATTCTTGTTCTACCTTCCAATAATTGTTTATTATAACTTATTAAACATTTTAGATGCAAATCATATCGAGGATTTGGATATTTGGCAGGTATATTCGTTTATTTTTGAATATATGGCTTACAGCGCTACTTTTGTCTTGATTTATAAGTTGTTTAAGTTAAACAAGTTCTTTAAGTTGGCTTTTTGTAAGGTTATGTGTAAATCCAGAAAGGATTTGGATTATAGTAGGCTGGATACCGTTCCAGAAGAGTTATCTAGCTAAGAAGATATAGCTATCTGTTTATTTTATTTATTAAAATTGTTTATAACGTTTTAATCGTTTTTTTTAAATATATTTGTTGTATATATTGTCACTTAATCATAATATACTGCCTTTTGATATTTGTATCATGTTATAAATAAATATTTTTGAAAAATTTATTAACAAAAACATAGTTAAATATACATTCTTTAAATGAAGTTATTCATTTATAAAAAAAATCTTATTAAATTATACTGCCTTATTGACAGTACATACTTACTTAAAGAAGAAACAAGATGTTTCAGTTCATTTGGCTGACCCTGAAACAAAAAAAATTATATTTAATATCTTTGCAACATAAAAATTAATCTAACTTAACAATTTAGTGCAATTTTCTTAACTAGACCTAACTACGTTTGGTCTTTATGTCTAATACGCACTTCCCAACATAGTCTATCAAACATTGTTCTGTTTAGTGTCCTAAAAATGATTCTGGAAACTTTTTTAGTAAAATAAAGGTAAAAAACTTCAAATTTAAATATATCCAACCCTAATTTAACTTATTTTTTTTAGATTTCTCACAAAATTATGGATAACTTTACAGGATATAGTAATTCAACGTCAACATACGAAAGCATTTTCTTATTTTACTGTAGAGAATGCTTGTTATTCCTGGTATGCTTCCTGGCAACTGTAGCAAACTTAATCATGCTCTATGCAGTGATCAAGCTCAAAAAATTCACGGATATTCGTGATTTCATCTTATTAATGTTGATTATTTGTGCCACCCTGTACGTAGTGCTTTCCCCAGCAGATAGGTACCTTTTCGAGCACGTTAGAAGAAGCATTTTCAAGTTTACTTTTGGTGTGTGCATAGTAAGTCGATCAATATATTTCTTATTGTCTCAAATGATCTACCTGAATAGTTTATTATGTCTGGATTGGATTTTGAAGAGTTTGTTTTATCCTTCTTATGTTAAATATGAGAAAAGTCACGTTTTGGTGAAGCTTTTGATACTTTTTGTATTTTTTACACTGGGGTTTTACTCAACGATGTCTTGTATGAATTTGAAAATCATTCAAGTCAAAAACTATCCTTATTTTACCTTGTATTTTGTATTTGTTTTATCAATTAATGTTTTGAAATGTATATTAGGGAGAAAACAGATTCTTGCATTAAAAAGTGACTTTGCTTTGGTAGTTCCTACATTGTTTGGTGTCTTTTTTAGTCTATACTTCGGTATAGAGCTTATTGAGCATGTTAGTAATGTTGTAGTATCAAAGTATCTTGTGTTTTTTAGTGTAGTTCTGCAGTATTCGTGTTTTCTAGTTGTTTTTTGGTATTTTACCAAATTTTATCAACCTTTTAGAAAGATTTTTAGTAGAATAGTCAAATGTAAATTTAGAGAATAAACAGTACTTAATTCTAAAAATGATATTTTATTTATTAATATTAAGTTTTATTTATATAGTGTTGCCCATTTTTTAGTAGCAGGGTTTTAGCAGTTCATAGAAAATTTTATATTATAAGGATCGAATCAAAAATACAGGGTGCTGAGACATGAATTCTCCATTGAATGTCAAAATAATATACTGGGTGTTCGCTTTAAAATAAAAGTAGTAACTTGTTTTTAAAATTGACCAATGTTCAATTTTAATTTCCTCTGGCCATGTATAACTTTTTGGATTAAATTTCAATTTGGTTTAATGTTCAGTACATATTATAACTGAATATTAAGCTATATACAAAGTAAATTAAAATTTAGGTAGCTTTTGTAGAAATTTAAAATTTATTCATCGTTTTTACAAAACGTTCAATATGCCAAAATCCCTACAATTTATTATTTGTTTTTTAATGAAACTCATCTTTATTTTTTTGATAAAATTTGAAATTGAATTACAAAAAAACACAACTCTGATATAGCTAGAGTTCATAGTTTCATAGTTGTCGATTTTCGAAAGAAATCAGTACATTTATATTATTTCGTATATTTTTCATTTTATTGATTTTTTGGAAAGCACTGTTCATTAAAATGTTGTATCTTATGTTATAGGGCTTGTTTCTCTCTACAATTTCCTATTTCACAATGTACCGTTTGTGTCCGGGAAGAGTTCATAGTTCCATAGTTGTCGATTTTCGAAAGAAATCAGTACATTTATATTATTTCGTATATTTTTCATTTTATTGATTTTATGGAAAGCACTGTTCATTAAAATGTTGTATCCTATGTTATAAAGCTTGTTTCTCTCTACAATTTCCTGTTTCACAATGTACCGTTTGTGTCCGGGAAGAGTTCATATATTCATAGTTGTCGATTTTCGAAAGAAATCAGTACATTTATATTATTTCGTATATTTTTTATTTTATTGATTTTATGGAAAGCACTGTTCATTAAAATGTTGTATCTTATGTTATACGGCTTGTTTCTCTCTACAATTTCCTATTTCACAATGTACCGTTTGTGTCCGGGAAGAATTCATAGTTTCATAGTTGTCGATTTTCGAAAGAAATCAGTACATTTATATTATTTCGTGTATTTTTTATTTTATTGATTTTATGGAAAGCACTGTTCATTAAAATGTTGTATCTTATGTTATACGGCTTGTTTCTCTCTACAATTTCCTATTTCACAATGTACCGTTTGTGTCCGGGAAGAATTCATAGTTTCATAGTTGTCGATTTTCGAAAGAAATCAGTACATTTATATTATTTCGTATATTTTTCATTTTATTGATTTTATGGAAAGCACTGTTCATTAAAATGTTGTATCCTGTGTTATAGGGCTTGTTTCTCTCTACAATTTCCTGTTTCACAATGTACCGTTTGTGTCCGGGAAGAGTTCATAGTTTCATAGCTGTATCCTATGTTAAAAAATGATTCTAAATTAACCTAAATATCACAAAATCTCATTTCAATAGAAACTGTCGTTCTTGGAGCTTTCGTGGCGTATGAGAGGCGTCACCCTGTATATAATTTTTTTAAAAAATGACTAATAACTATTTATTGTTTAATGTATACAGGTGAAATAATAAATATTACAATAATTACTAGCGATATACGATACTTAAGTATTTAGTTTTGTATAACTAATTTAGATCAGCTCTACCAATGACTCAAGTTACTAATGACTTGTCAAGATAGATACATATAACATAGGCGGAGAGTTGTTTTTTTTCAGTTGGGAGCAGAAAAAATAAAAAATAAATATATTTAATATCTCTTCGTTTATCTTTTCCTATTTCTTCAGCTTAGGTTTGCCTGCATTAATTATTAAAAATATGCATATTGGTAGTCACTTCCACTTAATTTGGACGTACCAAGAAGTAAATAATGTTTAAAAAACAATTTTTGGTAATTTAAAAAACCTTCTATTCCTAACTCTTGCTTTTTAACTACGCCCATGGTTTTTACGTCTCAATACATCGTTTATTATTAAGAATTTTTATTTAATTAAGCTCTGAAACTATTTTTCAGCATTCCCTGTCACTGGTAAACAAATAATAGGCTAACAACGTCCAAATATTTCTGTATTTTTCTCACAGAGCCTCATTTTAAACAGTGTGTGCTCTAATGGGCGCCTCCAAGTTTACATTGTGTCAATAAAAGGTCAAATTTCGTAATGGTACCATGTCTGCCGGCCATTCTGGCTCAATTAAACAATTCTCTAATTGAATTTGCCTGTCGCGTACTTCGTGGAGATGTACTTTTGATAGTTGGCGTGGAAATTGTCGAAATTACCAGGTAATAATTCAAAATGTGCTGAAATGTGAAGATTTTTCCTGGCTTTTATGGATACGACACTTTTTTTATGAAGTTTGACTAAGAAAAATGGTGTTTCTTTGTGTGATATAGTTGAAATTTCGTGATAAGTAGTAAGGTATGTAAATATATTTAATATGTTTTTCAACAGGATGATTTTCATTGAACTTTTTTTGCTTAGTTAATTTTGTAAAAGTAAACTGTTATAAATTTAAATAATGATTTGGAAAATAGCTACTAATTGTTATTAGAAAATTGCCGTGACGACCTATTTAAAAAAATACAGAGTGTTGCATTTGAAATAACGAAGTTTTTATGGAAAATAAATATTCAAAATAGACCAGCAATTTTTGATACCCCTGTATAGATTTAAGGAAGCAATCAAATTTTTTAGTAAATTTTATTTCACTGTCTTAAAAGTCAGCACTAGAATTAATTCTGAAAAGTACTGTACAGGGTGAGTCAAATTCGACGCTTTTAAATGGAAACACCCTTTTCTATAGGAGATAGACAAAAACTAATATCGGTGTCTGGAGCTCAATTTTTGTCAAAAACATGATGGTGAAAACCGCATATCGATATCTGTTACCGTTTCGGAGTTACGGGGTGTTTTTCAAAAATATGCATTTTTAACAAATCGCTCTAACTTTTTTGCTATGGAAAATTTTGTATTTTTATGCAAACATTTCCAAAGCACCTTTTTACGTAGAATTTAATGGTTTAAGTATATATTTTTTTAAATTAATAATTTAAGAATTACCAACAGAAAATTTGATTTTTTATATGGGACACCCTGTATATTTTTAATTAGCTGAAAAGAATTTAAAATTACCTTTCCAAAAATATAGCACACTTGATATTTTGTTATAATCCCCTTCGAAATACAGATTTTTTAAAAGTTCGCCACTTTTAACTAGTAGGCTTTGGACACCTCATTGATGATAATGCCTTTAAAATGGACCTAAAAAACATATTTTTCCAGCAAGACGACGCACCGCCTCTGAACGCTAAAGTTATCAGCAAATTTCTGCAGCCAATTTCAAGAATAATTGAATAGCTGACCAAGAACCCAGCCGTTGGCCGTCGAGGCCGCCTGACTTAGTGTCCATGGATCTAATCCTATGGATATATTTAAGAATAAAGGTTCCTTATTCTTCTGTATAATCTAGACAAGAATTAGAAATACTTAGCAGTTATGAGAGGGTATCTTTCACCCCCACTGAGTTAATGAATTCCGCAAGAAATGTTCAAAAACTGCCCCGTCTGTCACCTGTAGCAAAATCTCATGTCCTGGTTTGCTATTTATTTTTATTGTTATGAGATATAGTTTAAATGTGTTGATATTTGTTAAATATATTTTAAATTGGTATAAAATTCTGCATCTCTCATAGCAAATATTATTTTCGTTTTA